TCTCGACTGCTTCTCCAGGTCTTCCCTCAGGCTTTCCAGCTTGTCCTCCAGGCTGAGCATTCGTTTGCCCTGGGCACCTGTAGGACAAGAGGGGCATATATGTATATAAATATAATGTTTATTTTTATCTTATTCTATGACGATTTACCACATTTGTGAAAGGATTGATATAACAGATGACTATCACCTCTTCAAGCATGTCAACCCCCAAAACCAGACTGTAAGGTTTGAACCACTCACACCTGGAAGGCGCCTATCTAGTTCTATGCCTGAATTGGACCAAGGCTAAGCGTTAGGATCAGGCACGGTTCTGGATACTAGTAGTCTGCATGTATCCAAGAACGTAAGTTTGCCCCTAGGCACGGTTCAGGCACGGTAGACTCGGGCTACATGGGATAATGTTGCTACAACTTAGTATGTTTATCTATGACTGAAATATTGGCCTCAAATCGAAAACTTCATTGGACACCTCTGAGGTGCAACGCAGTTTGATTATGATGTGTCCTAAATGACATACTTCAACAACAGAAGTCTAGTGGTTCAATGCAAACGTACCTCCATAGACCTCCACCTCACAGAGGGTAAGGATTCTACTGGAGCCTGTCAGACTGATCCCCACATATCGGCCGGTCCGTCCGCCACAGCCTATCGACATCACGTTCCCACGGCTGAGGGACTGCGGTCCCCCACAGGTAGGGTTTTTCAGCACGTCGGGGTTGTCGCCCACGTGAACCGTGAAGCCGTCCAGCCTTTCCGAGCAACAGTCTAGCCGGTTAACGACGACCAACGAGTCCACGCACTGACTGCTGCCCAGGTCGACTCGCCACCATGGGTTGGTTTGGCTTGCCGTGTGGGTACAGGACCCGGCTCTCCATGAAGAAGAACGGCTCCCATCCACAGCGCGGCCGGCGACTCCACCCGATGCAGTACTAGACTGGGTCGCAGGGCGGTTCTTGGCAAGGTTGGTGGAGCGAATACCAGCTATGAAGATGAAGAAGAACACAAGAAGTTACGGCCAATACCGTACTTATTTCTAAGACTAATTTTGGAACAATTAAAATACTTTTCTTTACAATAAAATTAAAAAAATAATAAAATGTAATAATAATAAAAATAAAATACTTTCCCCATTGCTGGATGACTTGATTTCTTGAGAATTATATACCAAAAGGATAGACATAATATTTAACTACCATTATACCTAAACGCTATAAAAAGTTTAGTTTAAGACACTTACCACACATGTTCGCTTCTGCTAAATGTCCTGTAATACAGACAATAAAAAGGTATTAGAACTCATTTGTGATATCTAGTAGATAAGTAGGCGAAGCAACGACGAAGGTCAAGTTCGACAATGGGACACCTTGCGGGTACATGCGGTACTGCATCGAAGCTTCTAAGTTTGTCGATTATTAGATAAGGATACTTACGAATCCTCTTTAAGCAAGTAGGAAAAGTTTGCAGATGAAATGTTATTTATTTCTTGCCAGCATAAGCATTTAATGCTATTGAAGCAACCTTCAATATGCAAGCACAAATGGCCATACCCATATTTACGAAGATTATGCTACCTAACGCTGTGATACCCATAAATACTAAATACCAACGCCGTGTTTCAGATTAACAGATGCGATACAAAAGTATATTTGACAAGATTTTACAATCCTTTTTACGAAGTTTATGCTGCGCAACGCCGTGTTTCAGACTGACAGGTGTGATATCGTTATATTATACATGATAGTATATTTGATACGATTTTTTTACACAGTGCACTCATTTTTTATGCAGTGGGTAAGCTTGGCCACTGCACTGGCTTTTCCACTTAATCAGAACAACATTTGTGGCTAAATTACGGTAAAAATCTTCCTCTAAGCAAATGAAAAATTTTGCATCTAAAACATTTAAGCAAGAATTAGCATTCAATTATAAATTAGCATTCAATTATAAATCAGCATTCAATTATAAATTAGCATTCAATCGTAAATTAGCATTCGATTTTGAATTAGCATTCAATTATAAATTGCCTTGTAAACAAGAATTAGCCTTCAATGAAAATTGGCTATGTAGTCTGTGCAGACACTTGCAACAAAAGAGCTGTTGTCTTAAATGATACATCCTACGGGAACAACCACACCTAAAACATCTAAGCAGGCATTAACATTTGATTGAAAAGAGAGAGCATTTAAGTTATTATTTTCATAGCAACCTAGTTTACGCAGGCACTCGGAACAAAAGAGTTGTTGTCTAAAAAAAATTAAGCAAGATCCTTGGGGAACAACCACACTTAAAACATTTAAGCAAGAATCAACATTTGATTGAAAAGAGCATTTAAGTTATCATCGCCATGGCTACCTAGTCATGAATATGGAAATGCAGTCTGCACCGACACTCGAAACAGAGTTATAGCCTCTAGCAGACTCCTTTGCAGGCTCAATAAATACTAGCAGTAGAAATTGGCCTAAAATCAATGTAGCTGGCCATAGCAAAGTTACCACCTGAACAATACAGAAAACACTACATGGCGTCTGTAACTAAATTTTGTACATAGCCATTTTTACCAAGTTTATGCTGCCTAACACTGTGTTTTAGGATAACATATGCGATACCACACTAGTAGTATATTTGTCAAGAGTTTTACATGGGTAGGCCGCGAGTAAGCATCGTCAGTTCACTGGCTTTTCAACTTAATCAGAACAAGATTTGTGGCTAGATTGCCGTAAATTCCTCTAAAGTAACACACAAACGTGTTGTAAAAGAAAAAGGGCTCATTTTAAAATGTATCCATTGTACCCATGTTCAAAAGAAAGCTTCTGCCCAGCTCTACTGAAAATACATTGCCAGCGCTGCAAGCAGACTACTCCGAGAGCTATTCATTTCTGTAGTGCAACTTTCAGAAGTACGATTGAATAAAGAAATATGAAGTCACAGCTTTCCCTTTGCTCTTTAGTTGTGGACAGAGCAGCTCGTTGTACCGTATATTCTGTGTCCTGTCGTATGAATTTTCGGCCGTTTACATAAAAAAAAAAGGTTTCAGACCATACTCTAAATCGTACAAAATGGGCGAATCTATATGTCGTGTGTTGCAAAAAAAAAGTATTGGAAAAACGATACTAATGTCGCTGGCTGCCGAAATCAATTCAGGAAGAAAATGTGAAGAAATGGAAATGAAGAGTCTAGTATTATTCCCCATACCATACCCTGTGTGTTTAGTCATTTGTTCAACCTTTAATGACCACGTAGATTTCATATTGAAGGAAACTTTTATTTTATTTCCACGCTCACGTCAGTTTTGGGGTTTCCAGAGGATGTCAAACATATAATCAAAACAACATGGTCTTAAGTCTCAAAACATAGCAAACAGTCTGACCTAACAAACTAAAACTGAGGCTAAAACACGCTCGACTGTAAAATCCCTCGCAAAAATAAATTCCCGGTGTGGGAACCACTGTAAGAAACAGGAGGAGACAGTAAAAACCCCACTGGTCCCGGGCCGGGGTTCGGACCCACAACCTCCCGTTTGCCGGATCTGTTGGTAGCGCCTATAGGCTCCCCCCCCCCACTGTTACACTTTTCCCAAACCAACCCGCCGTTAGATGATATTGAACTCTTCCTTTTTCTTAATTTAGTAAGTAAAGTAGCAATAGGCTCCGCTTCATCTCACAAAAAAAAAAGAAATTAAAAAGAAAATTAAAAAACTACTCACCCAGAAGGAGAAGAAGCGCGAAGAGAGTCAGATCACCCGCCATCTTCAGTTGCGTCCGAAGAAATAAAGTTCTTAGCCGCAGAGCTTCAGAGCTCGCCTCGGGTGGTCCAACTTGTTGTCTTGTCACCAAAGAAGTCTGACCCGTTATTATAATAAGTTTAATGCAAATTCTTGCCCTTAATTAGGCTAATTGCAAGTAACAAGGGTATATTGGGGGCAGAGAACAAATAACTTCAAATCTACATGATTACGAGTACTAGTAATTGTCTGAAACTGTGTCTACAAATTTTGTCTGAAGGGTTTGACTTCTCTTCTGTAAACCATGGAAGACGTTTATAAGTTAATTGCAAATTCCTTTAGCTAATTGCAAATAACAAGGATACATTGGAGCAAAATAACTTCCAAATCTACATAGTAAAAGGTAATTGTCTGAAACTATGTCTACAAATTTTGTCTGAAGGGATTGACTTCACTTCTGTAAACTATGAAAAACGTTTATTGCAAATTCCTGCCCTTTAGCTAATTGCAAATAACAAGGGTATATTGGGGGCAGAGAACAAATAACTTCAAATCTACATAATTATGGGTAATTGTCTGAAACTGTGTCTACAAATTTTGTCTGAAGGGTTTGACTTCTCTTCTGTAAACCAAGGACAAGATCAAGAAAGAGCTGAAGTAAAACCCCCTTAAAAGCCCATCGCGTTTCCCAACTGGCGAAAAGCCGAAATCTAGGTTGGAATGAGAGCGATGCTTCTTTATGAGATGACGGTCTTTTTCTGAAAGACGCTCCAAAACGGGGGTGTGATAGGGTGTGAACATCCGCTTTTTTAATTTAGATTTAGAAAAATGAAACTTTTGACATTTATCGGTCTCCTTGTTTCCAGAGTATACTCATACATGGTGTTCTCTGTTCTATTCCTACGTACTACGTAATGCCTTCCAACAACTTTCCTTCATTCTCAATTTATACGTCAAAATGTGATTTTACCATCAGCTGATCCGTTGCAGAAGTCGTCAAAACCTTTGCAGAAGCGAACTTTTTGGTGTCGATCTCATTACCAACTAGAGTTCAACGATCTCATACCCTCGCCAAGTATCTTTATGACTGACAAAGTAAAGATTATTCCTCCAGATTATGCAAATAGGATCCTCATTTGCATGAATTATATCAGTTGATCATATTCTCCACCAAAAGACAGCCTTATCTTAACAAAGAAAGCCTTTCTATCATTTCGTCATAAGTGATGCAAATGAGGTCCTCATTTCAATAAGTTACGTTTAATGATGTTCACCTTCACTTAACTTTCAAATACCCCAAGTATGAAATTCCAGGCAGTGAGCATTATGGAATCATAACAAGTAAGTGTTAATGTACATAATCAATATCTGCCTGTGTTTCTCTTGTTCTCAATTACACATATCACAAGCTTAAATAGTCCTATAATGTAATGCAGCTGATTCATAGAATTTTCTCATAAATTATGCAAATTACATCCAGATTTGCATAAGATCCGTCAACCGGTTCTTGAGTTATCCTCTTTTGAACAGTTTTAAAGAAATGCCCCTGCAGTTTCAGAGCAAGCCGCTAGGGGGTCCAAACCCACGTCACTTCTTCCCCAGCACAAGAGCTGCCTACCATCCAAATTTCGTCACCCTAGCATGTCCAGATCATGAGATATCAAAACCGGAAGTTCTGCTGCAGTACCACAATAAGCCGCCAGGGGGCCAAAATCTAATCATTTTGAGGTCTCATCAAGACCTACCAAGTATTAAGACAATCCATTTAAGCCTTCTCGAGTTATCGTGGTCACAGACACACAGACAGACACACGAACGCCTCTGAAAACATTACCTTCTTGGCGAAGGTTAATATGAAAACAAAGCAGATGGTGGGCGGTAAAATCGTATCTTTAGCCTCGAGAACTGCCATCGTATAGATGCCCTTCTTCCGGTAACATGATAATACAAGTAACATTACATTTTATGTAATGGTTTATTTCTATTTTAATCGCTTAATATGACGTTTTATACTAATAATGTGATGCCCCAATGTCAATTCAGCCTCTGGCTGCCATTTTTGGGACAGTGTTGTTGTGTTTTAATGCAAATAAACCATTGATATAATAGGACAGGTGGAAGGAAGGTCGGATGTTGTGCGTCTGAAACGGTTATGAATATGGCCCTGTTCATGTGAAGTCAGTGAAGGCGCTTTACATATGGTTTCCCCCGAAGCCGGTTTCAAGTGGCTCCATCTGAACGCTCCAAATCACATTGAAAGCGCCTCGATCCCAAACCACTTGGAGAGGTGGTTTCGAACCGGTTTTCCCGCATCGCGATTTGCGTCTGAACGCAATGTGATTTCAATGTGACTTCGCCTGGTCATGGATTACGGGGTGATATTTCTTTATTTATATGCAATAACAAAATTTACGTGGCAGCAACGTAGAGAGCAGTACTGATCGATTAATGTGTCCGTTGGCCTCTGGCGGGACCACGTCGGCATTCGGCGGAGGTACGCTGGGAGGGGGGCACCAGCAAGCAGGTCGTAGACCTCTGACATTAATAACACGCTACCTTGCGTGTTTTCATCAAACAAGAATTATGTTTGTAGATTAGGAGAATCGTGATCGGACACGGTTTGAAATGAATGTGTGGCACGTGGACCAGAACTGAAGAATGTGATTTGCGGTTTGGGTGGTTTCATATGAACAAGGCCTATGATGACAGCAAACCTCATTCACTGCAAACATATAATTCATCTGACCAAAGACGTTCTATCACATTTGTTGAAGCTTCTTGATCTGACATATGGTTTTTTGACGCTGCCAGATTTCCTGCAATGATGATTTAAGCCGTTTAGCGGCGCTATTTTGGGACAACCACTTGCTGGACGAGTTTCTTGATGACGGTCAGAAGCAGTTTATTTTGTGCGAGGCAGTACGTCTATTGAATTGTTTTCTGTGATTTGCTTCATATCTTATCGAGTTTAAATTACCATATTGTACAAATCTACTGCTACTTTAAATATACATCGTAGACGGAGTAAACTCATTTTTTCAGGGGAAAAAAACTGGCAACATACAGCAACATCTACGCGGGCTGTCTTCCTGCAATGACGATTCCAGCCGTTTGGCGGCGCTACTTGTGATCGAGTGTTGGATAATGCTTCTCTACAAGCAGAGGTTTAGGTTTATCTTTTTTTGTCCGCTAACGGTACTTGTTGTATACTGTTAGGCAGCCACCAAAAGCTCTACTTGACGATTAGCTAATGACACTATAAGGCCACAGCAAGTAAATTTTATGGAATCCTCCGCAAATATAATGCGAGTGGGCGAAAAAAAAACAAGGCGGGCCGAAAAAAACAAGGTTCCTTCATTTTCAAATTTTGACTCAATCATTGTACAAATGGTTTTGATTCAGTGGGAACATCACATATACACAGCCAGCATCACATATCACTGCATCAAAGTAAGAAAGAAAACATTAAATCAGAGCTTTTTCTTGTCTCCTCTCTTTATATTTATCTGTCATCCACCTTCCGGCATGGCAACAGACATCTTTGCCCATTTTCGGCATGTTGACCACTGTTAGAAGGCAAAAAAATTGTTTTTTTTTTCCCCAACATCAGGCGAAAAGTAATGTGCGCGCTGATGTCATCCATAAAAATTACTTGCTGTGGCCTAATGATATACAGCTGTATATGTTGGAAAGGCATACACCATTGAAAGCAATGGGCAGACTTTGGGAAGGAACAGTTGATGAATAAACATTTAAGAAGAAACATCAATTTGTGTGGTCTAATAAGAGCATTACCATACTCTGCTATGATTACATGATGAAAATACTCAAAGAACACAAAACCATAGTTTGTCAAGAATGTTTATCACAAATGTGATTCAAAGTCCTGTACAAAGTTCCAAACAGAACAGTGAACTGTTATATTTACATATATGTACACGACAAATTTACAGGATCTGTCAATGAAAGAATCGACAACAAAAAAACTTGCATAAATCCATCAACAAAACATCAACATAAGTTTCCTTTTGCTTAATTAATATGTACAACACAGGTGGACTGAAATAGCTTTTTGTGACAACTAGCAGCACCCGAAAAGTCATTTTCCTGGCATTACACTGTACACATTTTTACCAACACTTTGTTCTACAGACATGTAGAAATATGAAATCACTGACTGCAGTCAGACATTGAGGTAAGAATGTTAAGTCTTATAAAGCGACATCTCAACAATGCACAATGGAAATACCAAAACATGCAGATGCCCTTGTGTTATCTGTATCAAATTGTCACAAAGTATCAAAAGGTAGAAAAGGAAAAGACCAAGAGATCTGTTGATGCTAAAAGTCATTGCCACGGTATTCCCTGGAATAAATGTGCGTAGATCTTATAATATAGCTCATTACCAATTATACTTAAGCTCATTTCTCTAGTATCATTTCTCTTGATATTTTAGCTCATTACCATTGTGAGAAACCTTGAGATCTTAAAAACCCAGGTAAAATATGGAATTTACGTTGAGGTGAACAGTAGAGCTAGAGGTGTCATTCCAAAATTGCCATTTAGAATACTCAATTGTTAACATCAAATACTACTAGTACCAGGGTAATAACTTTAAAGTAAACTCACTTCAGTTGTAACAGAGGCAATGTATAACTATTAACACAAGTTGCTAGAGTAAAAATCATATCAAAAACTTGACTTAGTAAGGCCATGATATGTTCAGTACAGACTTTTCAACAGTTTACCAGTCCAAGATGTCATACAGAGTACACTACGTACACAAACTTGCAGTCTAGCTCTTCCTACCATACCACAAAACTGTCCAGAGATTTTCATGGTGGTTTACTTCACATGAAATCGAGTGGGACCCTTACTTTGGCAGGTTACGTTGGTGACTTAATCATACAACTTCTAGAGCAGCCCTTACTTATTTCTGCATTCAGGAATGCGTTTTTTCAGAGTCCTCCCCCTCCTAACGTTAGGCGATGGCGTTTCTGTCTTCTTCTCCTGGGAGGGTTCAGGGGAAGTTGGAGAAGCTGGAGAGGCCATTTTTTTCCTGGGTGAGGTCCACCTGT